GGAATATAATATGTGAATTTTACTTTAATCTTTTTATACAGGTCTTTCCCTGTTTTTGACAAGAACAGAAGATATGGAAGTATCCAATGCAGCATCAATAAATCCAGGTAAAAATTTTATTTTTATTTTACACATATAATTTTAGTATTAAGAAAAGTATTGTGTTTCTATAGAAAAATCAGTGAATACCAAAGAAACTCAGATTAAAAGAAAAATCGATGCTGTGGATTCTATTAACAAGAAGATACAAAGAGGTATAAAATATTAGAAACTATTAAAAAAAAATGTTTTTAACCGTAATTAATCATTATAGGAACTGATGATAAGTTTATTTTTAAAAATAAACGATCCAAACCATCTGAAATTACACAAGACATGCACTTGAAAAACGAAATATTGGTGTTGCAAAAACAACTTTTGTTACAAGAAATGAAAGGTAAATCAGATATCGCCGAACTGACAATCGAAAATTTAAAGTTGGATACGCAAATTAAAAGACTGACATTACAGAAACTAGAGGCGAATGTTATTGATATTCATTAGTAAGTGTATATTTTTCGGTGATATAATTCGTATAATATATAATTTTTAGATTAGTAGATTTATTAAACTGACATTTTTTATTTCCAGTCATACATAACTTCATGTTGCATCATGTAGAGTAACCGAGGCAGGTTCTAATTCCGTAATCTAAAAAAATATATGTTACAAGTTTCTGTAAAGTGCCAAAGAAGTTGTGATATGCGAAAAATGATAACATAAAAATTATAATATATTTGTAGTTTTAAATATAAAGATTTTATGTATTCGTTAAATTCGTTATTAAACTTACCTCGAGAAATACTCATGAATGAGTGCTTGTCTGACATTATTGTCTCCTATTTGAACATCTATTTGATTCTCATTACCAACTTCAATGTCATCAGGAATATTTATACATTCAGGAGGTTCTTCTTCATTTTGATCTCTGGCAATATTATGTAGAACTGCTGTAGCTACGATGATGTCTTGCACAGTCTGTATTTTGAGTCTCATACCTAAACTTAATACAGGAAATCGACGTTTCCAAACTCCAAATACTCGTTCAACGATATTTCTCGTTCGTATGTGAGCATTATTGTACTTATTTTCCGCTGCAGTAGTTGGATGCAAAAGAGGAGTGAGAAGATATTTCTTGATTGGATATCCACTATCGCCAAGTAATATTCCCAACTGAAAATCACCTTCCTCTAATCTTTGATGCAGTCGGCAATGTTGAAAAATTGTTGCATCATGGACCGAACCCGTCCATCTATACACAATGTCTGTAATTTTCATGTTATGATCACATACAACTTGGGTATTAAGAGAAAAGTATCCTTTTCGATTTCGAAACTCTTCTGCGTGTTCACCTCCTGAAAATATTTATTATACATGTCATTTAAAATGAATACTCTAAATCTTCCTACAATATTGTATACATATTTCAAACTTTCACGTAATATTAAATGTTTCAGTATAAGATCTTTACAATATTTTTGTAATCTTTCAGTGCTGTATGGCGTATTTCATAGCTTTAACTTACCAGGAGATTGTATTCTAATATGCGTTCCATCGATGCATCCTATTACTCTTGGAAATTTGTGCATGTCAT